CTATGGTAACTGACAGGTCTTCAGACACATGTATATAGTTCTAGAGAGAACACTAGAACAGATTTTTCTGTCCAGGCTTACTATGTATATCCATTGTACTCTTGTTTTCTCATTGTTGAAAAGTTAAATTGAAGAAATCCAGTAGAATGTTAGCTGCATCTCTCTTTAGATAATTTTGCTTCATTGACTTGAAAATTTTGTTTTTATATTTGGTTTAATCTTAGTATCTATGTCTACTAGTAAAGCTTTCTGATGAACTCATAAAATATAAAGGACATAGATTATTTCATCAGCGTCTTCTGTTGGCATAAATTCCTTGGTATAATAGAGTTATAAAAAAGGAATATACTACCATTCTGCCTGAATTTTGTGGTATATTTCAGTTATTTATATCAACTGGAATTACTAAATATTTTGCCATGACCATTTAGAAAAAAAAGTCTAATGCTGTTGATTTAATTCATTTAAATTTTCCATGCTGGAGTGTTCCTTTTCCCACCAATTGCATTAAGCTTTTTTTCAGTAATTTTTTAGTAAAATGTAACTTTACCATTTTGTTTACATTGCTTAAATGGATACTTTGAAAAAAATAATCATTTCTTGCTTTAGTAACTGGAGGACATCTCTTTACCTGTATAGAATCCATGTCCGAACTTAATATTCCTCTATTTTCTTAATTTTAGAGGTGCACATGGAGGCATCCTTCACACTAGTGGATCTTTGACAAAGATGCATTGCAAAACAATCAACAAACAATCAGAAAGGCATGCTATGTGAGTGATGATCCCTGCAGCACATGCCAGTGGCTTGTTGTAGAGGAGCTGCTCAATACATGCTGGATTGAATTGAAACAAGGCTTTTTTTGGATGCTTACTGGGAAGTTGTAGGGTGGGTATGATGGACTAAAAATTATTTCTAAAGATGGATATATATTTACTTGTATATATTCCAGAATCTTCAGATTTTTATCATTTCTTAAAAATAAAAAATTAACTCTGTCCCATATTAACCCAGATGTTAGCACTTACATAGAATTCTTTTCCTTTTTCCCCTTTTAGGCATCTCACAGTATTTTTGGCTGGTCTATTTAGGATGTTAGGTAAAGGGAAAGAGAATGATAGGAGGTTTTTTTCTTAAAAAAAGAAAAAACAAAAACGGGTTCAGTATTAGTATTTGCTGCCTATTTTAACTTCCTACTTTAAAGTTAGCAAAGTCTTATTGTTTCAATCTGCTTTAAGTTTATCTCCCTTTTTTATTATTTAAAGGTTGGAGCATTTATCACTGGCCTCAAACAAAGGATGTAGACTTTTTTTTTTCTTCACAGAGATTTTTATTTTTGTCAGTCACTTTTAAGAGGATTAAAAATGTTGAGTCTCTTTCATATTTCCTCGTCCCTTTAAAAATATTCTATTATGACACATTTCAAACATACGGGAAGAGTGAATCTTGAACACGTATCTGTCTGTACCTTAATCTGTTAATCCGTTTTTTCTGATTCAAAGTAAATTGTGGACATCGGTGTATTTTACCCCTAATACTTGAGCATATACCTCATTTAACTTGATTTCTCTCTTACTTTCTACAATTTTATGAAAATGAGCTGTTTCCCTTGGGGTCTGTCCTGATCTTAATCCTTTAAGGGTAAGGCTAACTTGTAGATGTGTTAACGGTCTTCATTGCTGCTGCCTTTTTTTTCCCTTAAAAGGTACTCTCAAAAGGCACATTGCACATGATTAGCAAGGTTCAGAAGCACGTGGTTAACGTTTCTTACATGCTTTATACCTATGCTTTAGTTCTTGTTTTCTGTAAGGAATGTTGCATGAGGATATTGGAAACAAATTTAAAATTAAGAGTTGAAGGCGGATCCGAATCTAGAAGGATCCATTATGGTGAAGCCAAAGAAGCAGGTCTAGCTATTCCAAGTAAGTAGGCTGGAGAGATGTTTCTTAACTCTATCTGGGTTTTGTTTTCCATTTGAAGAAAAACTAAGCAATTACCTCTTTTGACTACTATAATATGACTCCTGTGTCCAAAAATTAATTACATCTTTCCAATTATTAAAACAGAAAAAAAACTGTTTAAATTTTGTTACAAATAAAGATCCCAGACTTCCCTCTGTAATGCATTAGTTCTTAGCGTAACTTTTGTATTTTCTGTCACATAGGCTTTGTCATCTTTAACAGGATTATTTAAGCCTTAAATAATAGAGAGACTATTTGGAGATCACTGTTTGACTGAGCGCTTGGTCCCGGACATTTTCACAAATGTAATCTTTAGAGAGAGAGCATTCCTCAAGCTTCAGTTTCTTCCAGACACTGCTTGACTCCTCCTGGCCTCCCTTCAAAAAGGATTTCTGCATGGGCTGCATTTTAAGTGATCTTCTACTTTCGTATTTATAGATAATAATTCAAAGTTTATAAATAGCAACTCTAATCTTAAACTGCTCTCCAGTATGTCCACAGTTTTGTTCTAGAGAGAATTATTAATAAGTTGAAACTGAATATATTTGACTTGAAATACTGCCATTGATCTCTGGTACTACCTGTTGTCAAACCTACTGTTGTTTTAATGTACAAAATAGACGTTTTGTGAGGAAGTTTTTTTTCTCCTAAGCATAGTTACCAAAGTAAGACATGTTGAATGCTAACTTTAATACTAGCTTCTTAATATTCATAGAAACATTTAGATATCTAGGCTGGTGTTAATATAGTCCTTGAGCATTTGCAGATTTACTTGTCTGAAACATAAATAAGCTGTTAGTGATCTGTTATTAATAGTGACTGTTGACTGTCTAGGCACTGTACCAGTCAGTCCTCTATAGATATTATCCCATTGATTGCTCACACCAGCCCTGTTTCCAAAGCCATTGATTGGTTCCATTCAGCTATCCTGTCTTTCAGCAAGTTCTACTATTTGTATCAGATTGGTTAGTGAAATCTTGTAGGTAATAGTCTTTCTTCAAAGTTTTAGAATTGATGTTTTTTGATGCTTCATGGAAAAAATGAGCATTGGAACCAACATAGTAGATGTTCCATGCTGGGCAGTGTGTTAGACCTTTTATGTTTAATTCTCTTGAAGCTGTGAGATAAGTATTAGTCCAGTTTTACCATTGAATATACTGAGATTAAGGTTAATTTGTGGAAATTTCGTGGTAGAGCTTGGGATTCATTCTCTGGTCTGACTTCAAAGCCATGTTCTTTCTGGTACAAAGCCTTGTACATGAAGTTTTTTTTTTTTTTTTTGCCATTTTATCCATATAAAAATTTTCCAGGAGGAGGATTTTTGCCTTAAACAAAAGAATAAAATACGTTTTATGTCACTTTATAGAAAAGGATTTTTTGGGGAAAGTTTATAAAGAGCAGTTGCATGCTAGAAAATGAGAAAGCTTTTGTGAAAGCATGCAGGTAGCTAGCGAGGTTAAACTCATTGCTTGCCTCATCGTGTTAGGGGAGATCTGGCTTCTTGCTGTGCAGTTTTTCCACCTGCCTTCTACTTTGTGTTTTGTAAGAGAAAAATATTGATAAGTGACATTTATTATAGGCTATGTAAAATAATATATGTGTGAAATTTCTTAAAATCTTAAGACTAAGTGAGAAAATTTTTTATTATGCTACTGTTGCTTCAGGGAACTAAGCAGTAAGCTGAAACCAATTCTGTGATGTTTATAGCGCAGTCATTTATATTATCTGGAGAATTGTTACCTACATTGCAGTTTATCCTAATTTCAATTTGACAATGTGTACATGTTCTTTTAAATTACTTGCTGAGTTGGTGAGTTTTTCTGTTATTTTTTAAAAACTGACAACAACTTCCTGCTTAAAAATAAAATTCAGTGCTATAGTTTTGTTTGCAGCCTGTATCTTAGTAGGGAACCCTTAGGAAATCCTGTCTTTAGAGAAATTTTGAAAATGGGCATCTTGGCATAGGCTGCTGCCTGGTATCACTCAGAAAGAAGGACTGTTCATTTCCAGCAGACGTTAAGAGCTGAGTAAGGCCCATAGCATGGAAATACGACCATCTCTGCCCCTACAGAGTTATACTTTTAGGTTGTTTGAAATTGCTTTATTTGGTAGCTCTGTTTGATGTAACAAGAAACAGACTCCAAAGCCAAATTGAAAAGACTTTTTTGTATTACCGCTATTTAATTTCTTGTACCCCCAGTTGATTCTGTCTTACCTTAATCACATTATTATGAATAATTGAAGAGCTGATGATACCTTTTTTAGATTTTCTGATGAGGACTAAAGCATCTGATCAGATTTCATGTTCATGATTTCAACTTCACAGCCAGTATCTTATTCAGTCAAAAGCTTTATTAAACCTCTTCTTTTGGCCGGGTGTGGTGGCTCACACCTGTAATCCCAGCACTTTGGGAAGCTGTGGCAGGTGGATTGCTTGAAGCCAGGAGTTGGAGACCAGCCTGACCAACGTGGCGAAGAAACCTGATCTCTACGGAAAATACAAAAATTAGCCGGGCGTGGTGGCATGCGCCTGTAGTCTCAGCTTCCGGGGAGGCGAGGCAGGGGAATCACTTGAACCCAGGAGGTGGAGGTTGCAGTGAGCTGAGATCGTGCCACTGTACTCCATCCTGGGCCACAGAGAGACTCTATCTCAAAATAAATACATCTCTTCTTTCTTCATCTTGAGTTCCTGCTTCTCTCCAAGCATCAGGCCCTCTTTTACTGTCTCCCTTAATTTTCACATTTTATGTCGTCCAGACAGTCTTGTATCTTAAACAGTAATTTTCAAAATTTGAGTATTCTGCTTCTAAATGCCAAAGTCCCTGGAGAGTCTTAATTCTTCAATAAATGTATGGTAGAATAATGCCATTGCTAAACTTTATAAAAACAGGATTTTAAAACTTAAAAAAAAAAAAACACACTAATCTTTAATTTGGTAAAATTAGGTTTTTGCTTAGCTTCTTTTATGGTACCTAGCCTGTTGGAAAAATTGTTAATAATTTGTGTATTTGGTGTTTTCTGTCAACAGGAAGAAGGTAGATAATGACTATAATGCCCTTCGAGAAAGACTCAGCACCTTGCCTGATAAATTGTCTTATAATATAATGGTATGTTTGGTGTGTTTCTTTTAAAGTAGCAGTTGTTTCTTGTAAACATATTGACTGTGTGTTAGTTCGCAGAATGCCAAGCTGATGGACTGGGTCCGAGGTAACTACGTAGGAAGGAAGATTTGTTTTGTTTTACTTTATAAGAATATACTAATTGTAGCAATCGTTGATGTTTACCTCTTTTTCATAATATATATGGTGACATAAATGACATAAATATTAGCACAAAATTGGACATATTTCGAATGGAAGCTTACTATATAAAAGATGTAATTATGACAGAAATATGGCTCTTAGTGGTTTCTTGTTAGCCAGAGCAGGAATAGGCCAGCAGGAATAGGCCATAATGTTTTGTAATTCACAGAATTAAACCTTAGGACATTGATTTTTATATAAAAAGGTGCTGCTAATTTTTGTTCTAATGATCCTCACATTGACATAGTGATCTGTTCATGAGCCCTGGATTAGAATCTTTCATTGCATGAATATTCTTTCTCATGAAGACTTTGTTCTATTATACTAGTCCAAGTATTTTGTATATATACCTAGGTAGATCCATTAAGGCTATTTATTTACTAATTCCTGCTTTGCAAAAATGGCTGTTTTATTGAAAATAATTTTTAGTTTTCTTTATCAAAAGTATTTTGCATTGACAGTGTTTCATGACTAGTTGCTTTTATTTAGATTTGCAAGTGAATGAAAAGTTTAAACATGGCGAGACAGTACTGCTTTCTTGAAGAGCTGTATGTAAATACGGTGTGGATTTATTTTCCTGTTTTAACATTGATTTATGAACATAAAGCAATTTTCTGTAGATATTCCTAGTGAAATTTTAATATAATGTTAAATTTCTGTGAAGTTGGCATTTTATTTTTCCCAATGTATAAATAAAATTCAGTAATAACGTAAGGCTTTCAATGCAAAGTGTTTTATAAAATGTATTTTTCAGTGTTTTATGTTTTCTTCCTTTTTTTAAACAATAGGTACCATTTGGCCCTTTTGCCTTCATGCCAGGAAAACTTGTCCATACTAATGAAGTCACTGTTTTACTGGGGGACAACTGGTTTGCAAAGTGCTCAGCAAAGCAGGCTGTAGGTTTAGTTGAGCACCGGAAAGAACGTAGGTACCCATTTTAAATGATGTTTTTTGTTGTGTATGTATCCATTCATAGATTGCCAAGCTCAAGGACTGTTTCTGACCAAAGTACCTTCCATGATTCATGAATCCAGGCTCTTTGTGATTCTGTTGAATTGCAGGTAGTTTGAGTAGAGCCAGCATTTGAGAATGAGCTGGAGAATGGAGCATCTGGGTTGGAAATGTCACCCAATTGGCATCTTTTCTGAAGTTACAAAGTATCAAAGTCATTACCTGTGATTTTGTGGTTAGAAGTTGGGAAGACATAAAAATTGGGAGTCATTTTATACTTTATAATTGGTTTGTTTTAATTGCTATTGTAGACTTACTTTTGCATTTAATACTTTAGTACACAGAAATAATTTGTTTACTGCTTAGTGAACTAAGAGAAATACCTATTTATGCAAGCAGATAATTCTTAAAAATGCTTTTTAGTTTGGAAGAAACAATCATATTTTCATTTGATAGAAGAGACCAGGTGTGACAAGGTGCTACCTAAAACAGCACCCTTATCCTTTTTCAGTAGAGTTCTCTGCATCACTTTATTAAGGCAGCTCTTGAGTTTTATCTGTACTATTATCTGTAGGTGTATAGAAGCCTACGCACACAGTACACATTTTGCAGTAGGATGAGCTAGCTTGGGCTCTAGCTTACTTGTATTTTAAAATTAGGTTCAGTTTCTAATCTGTTCTTATTTCTGTAATACGTATTTAGATTGACAGTATAGCATCCGTCCTACCTGCTTTTTAATCTTCTAGTTAAATGTGTATTTGAAAATAAATTTTGGGAAGATCCTTTTGTATAAATAAGGTCATACTAGACAGAAAACAGCTGGGTCTTCTAAAGCTGAACTTGATTTCACTTATATATGAGTGGGTACTAGAGAACTCATTCAGTGAAATTCTGGGAACTATATTTGGAGACTCTAATTGCAAATCAACTTCTATAAGTTTATAATTGATATATATTTTGATCTTTTGTGACACTAATCAGAATCTTATTGTTAGGCCTGTATGTAATTTCTGGCAATGATAAATCTTTTGGCTTTGATACATTAAAATAAGTCATGTATATTAGTGAAAGAGATTGGGCATACTTTTTTCTTAAAAGACCTTACTAAAGACGAAGGCTCTTTACTGAAGTAGTTCTGATGTTATGAAATGAATCCATAAACTGTTGAAGTTTGTTCATGTTGATTTTCATATTTCAGTGAAAAAAATCTTTATAATTAGTAATAAAATATTAATGGGTATATTTTTACCAATTAGAATAGAGTTCTAGGGTAGAGGAAGCATGTTTTGGTAAACCACTTTCCAGTAGTTAAATATGGTTTTGGAAATTGACCAAACATGGATGACTTTTGGGATCAATATTTATCTAAAATAATTTTCAAAGTACATATTTCCTATTACAATAAATTCTGTAATGTCGCTTTAGTCACATGCTTTTATAACAACTGAATAAAATAGGTATATTATTGTATTTAACATTTATTAAGAAAAGATACTTTAATTTTCTTAAGGCACAGGAAATATAACCAGTTAAACACATAGTCATCTACCTCATGCCTGACTGGGGTAATTGAGGAAGCTCTGAGTTACAACACGTGTCGTGATTTCTTTAACCAGCACCACAGTTAGGACACAGAATATGATACAAGATACTGCTCTCAGGACCCAGCTCCTACCAAAACCTCCCTCGCACCACCCCTTGATGGTCGCACCCTACTGCTGCGTCTAGGGATTGACACCCTCAGGTCTCTGTCTTTTGAGACTAGCTTCTTCACTTGCTGTAACACCTCATCCAGGTGATTCTGTGTATTCATAACGTTCATTACATTTTTTTGCTGAGGAGTGTTCTATTATGTGCATATCCAATAAATGCGCATACAACAGTTTTTGCATTCACCTGTTGAGGGACATTTGTGTGCTTCCATTTTTTGGCAGTTAGGAACAGAGCTATGTTAAGCCTTTGTGTACAGGTTTTTGTGTGAACATGCATTTTTATTGCTGTTGGTCAATCCCTACAAATGAGAATGTTAGATCATACGATAAGTGTATGTTCAATTTTTAAGAGACTACCAAGCTGTTTTCTAAAGTGGCTGTATGATTTATATCTCTATCAGCAGTATGTGAGAGTTCTGGTAGCTTTGTGTCTTTACCAGCCCTTGGTATTGTCAGTTTAAAAAGTGTAGCCATGTCTGAGGATGGTGGCCCACGCCTGTAATCCCAGCACTTTGGGAGGTCAAGGTGGGCAGATCATGAGGTCAGGAGATCCAGACCATGCTGGCTAACACAATGAAACCCCGTCTCTACTAAAAATACAAAAAATTAGCTGGGCATGGTGGCACCTGCCCATAGTTCCAGTCACTTGGGAGGCTGAGGCAGGAGAATCGCTTGAGCCTGGGAGGCAGAGGTTGCAGTGAGCCAAGATTGCGCCACTGCACTCCAGCCTGGGCAACAGAGCAAGACTTCATCTCAAAAAAAAAAAAAAAAAAAAAAAAAAAAAAAAAGAGTGTGGCCATTTGAATAGGTGTCTCATGGTTTTAATTTGCATCATTGCCTAATGATGTTGAACATTGATTTATGCACTTATTTTATCTTTGTGTCCCATTTTTTTTTTGAGATGGAGTCTTGCTCTCTCTTATCTGTTGCATTCCTTTGCCTGTTTTTAAAAATTGAGTTGTATATTTTCTTTTTTTCTTTTCTCTCTTCTCTTCTCTTCTCTTCTCTTCTCTTCTCTTCTTTTCTTTTCTTTTTTTTGAGATGGATTCTTACTCTGTTTCCCAGGCGGGAGTGCAGTAGGGCGATTTTGGCTCACTGCAACCTCCACCTTCTGGGTTTAAATCGCCTGTCATGTCTCAGTCTCCTGAGCAACTGGAACTACAGGTATGCACCACCACTCCAAGCTAATTTTTTTTTATTTTTAGTAGAGATGGGGTTTCACCATGTTGGTCAGGCTGGTCTCGAACTCCTGACCTCAAGTGATTTGCTCGCTTCAGCCTCCCAAAGTGCTGGGATTGCAGTTGTGGGCCACCGTGCCTGGCCTGGGTTGTATATTTTCTTATTGTTGTTTTGAGAGGTTTTTGTTTGTTAATATATTCTGGATTCAAGCTCTTTGTTAAATAGGTGATTTGCAAATAGTTTTTCTTCCTTTGCATCTTGTCTTTTCATTCTCTTAACAATGTCTTTCCAGAGCAAAAGTTTTTAATTATGAAGTTCAGCTTCTACTTTTTTTTAATGGCTCGTATGTGTGGTGTCATATCTAAGAACGCTTCACCTAACCTTAGTTTTTGAAGATTTTCTCCGGTGTTTACTTCTAAAAGTTTTATACTTTGACATTTTACAATTAGATCTGTGATCGATTTTAATTTCTGTTCACGGTGTGAGGTTTAGGTCGTGGTTCATTTTTCTTGCATATGGATGTCTTGTTGCTCCAATACTATGTTGAAAATACTGTTCTTTCTCCATTGAAATGACTTTGCGCCTTTGTCAAACATGAATTGACAACAAGACCATCTTACATCCCCCACTAGGATGGCTGTAATGCAAAAGACAGTAACACTTACTGGTGAGCATGTGAAAAAACTGGAACCCTCATTCATTGCTGGTAGGACCGTAAACTGGGTAAGCCACTTTGGAAAACGGTTTGGAATGTTTCAGCAAGTTAAACATTGTATCTTACTTTGACTCAGGAGTTCCACACCTAGATAGTATTCTACACAAGTGAAATAAAAACATATGTCCACAAAAACTTGTACTTGAATGTTAAGAGCAACACTGTTTATAAAAGCCGAAACATGGAAACAACCCAAATGTCTATCAGCTAACGAATGGTGGGTAAGTGTCATAAATACATGCAATGGAATGTTGCTTGGCAGTAAAAAGATGTGTACGTTGAAAACATTATAGTAAAAGAAGCCAGTCCTAGGAAGGTGTGGGAGAGAATGGAGAGTGACTGCTAAAGAGTATGGAGATATTTCAGGGACAGTGAAAATATAAAAATACAGATTTTTGGTGATGGTTGTACAACCCTGTGAATATACGAAAACCGTCGAATTGTACATTTTGGATGGGTGAATTACATGGTATGTGAATTGTTAAAAAACAAATGAATTGGCCATTTTGTGTAGTTCTGTTTTTGGACCATGTATTCTATTCCTTTATCAATGTGTCTGTCTCTTTACTGATGCCACTCTGTTTTGATTATGTAGCATTATAGTGTTCCTTAAACTTGGTAGTACAAATACTCTGATTTCTTCTTTCCAAATTGTTTTGGCTGTTCTACCTCCTTTGCCTTTGCATTTTAGAAACCACTTGTTATGTTTACAAAAACTCCTGGTGGGATTTTGATTGGAATTACACTAAATCAATAAATCAATTTGGGGAGAATTGACATCTTAACTATGAAATCTTCTAGTTTGTAAATACTTCCAGCCTGCAGATATAGTGTATCTCTGTATTTAGGACTTCTTTCATTCGTTTTGTAGTTTTTGAGCATGTAGATCATAAGCATTTTGTTAGATTTATATCTGTTTCTCTTTTTGTGGAGTTACTGAAAATGGTGATATTTAAAAGTTTTGTTTTTCAAGTATTTCTAGTATATAGAAATGCTTGTTTTAAAGAAGAACTAACATTGTATCCTGCATCCATGCTGAACACATTTGTTCTCTGAACTTTTTTGGGGTAGATTCCGTGGGATTTTCTATGTAGACAATCATGCCTTTTGTAAATAGCTCCTGTTTTTTTATTTTTTTACTTTTTTCTTTAATTCCTTTCCAATGTGTATATGCACTTTCTTTTTCTTGCCTTACTTCCTTGGCTAGGACTTGCAGTATAATATCAGAGTGGCAAGAGTAGGTAGGCATCTTTGTCTTGAAATTGATCTGCTGGGGAAAACATTTGGTATTTTGCTGTCAAGTGTGGTGTTAGCTTTAGGTTTTTAAAAAATTATATCAGTTTAGGGAACTTTCTGCTTGGTTCTAA